TTTTAGGGCTCAGTAATACTCCATTGTATGTGTTTACACAATTTGTTTATCCATTCATCCAGTGATGAAGGTGTGGACTGATTTCATCTTTTCGCTATTGTGAATAAGTACTGCTATGAACATGTATGTAATGTGTTTGTTTCAGTATCTGTTTTCAATCTTGTTGGATATATATTTTGGAATAGAATTGCAGGGTCATGTGTAACTGTATGTTAACTTTTTTATGCCAACGTGTTTGCCACAGCAGCTGAACCATTTTACACAGCAATACATAAGAGTTTCCTTTTCTCCACATCTACAACAACACTATTTAAGTGTGAAGTGATTATCTCGTTGTGGTTTAGATAGAGCGATACATTATGGAGTTAATTCTTTTAAGTCAAATTTTTGACAGTCAAATCAGAGTTGATGAAGATGCCAAAGAGTGCTAGAACCCACTCTCATGACAGACTCCCTGATCATTGTGGAACTTCCATCCTAGGCCTTCTGCACATTGAAACCACGCGCAGAAGCAGAATTTTATCTTGTCAGGATGGTCAACTCTTTTGACTTGGTAGGATTAGAAAAACAAAAGAGAGAATGACCAACAAGAGCCCCCAGTAGCAGCACTCTAAAATACTACTCTTCCTTACACTGAACCCAAGGCTTACACATTTGGAAGGGTGAAGACTGACTACTGTGGAACATACATCTGAAATCACAAACCTGTTTTAAGAGCAAGGGCTTGTTCTAAATTTGTAGGATAGGATTCACCTGCGTAATACATTTTTTGCTGAGTAGATGAAGCCATTTTTGTAAAGAAAGACTGAAGTTAAATGATTTTAGGCCATTTCTTAAGGAGCTTCAGGTTGTAGAATATGCAGAGAGATCTAAGGAGGGGAGAAAATAATTGATAACAATGAAAAGACAGAGGAATGAGGATCAAACTAAATATGGAGGGGAAGAAATAGCCTGATCTAAGAATATGAAAAGTGCATCTTTTGATTTGGTGTGCCTACAGTGCCACACATTTTTCTCCAAGAACAGGAAATCTGCTTAAGAACACAGAATTTCAGGCTGAAACTGTGTAGAAGCTTGTTCTACCATTGGCTGTCCTTGAAGGTAGCATATGATTACAAACCTAATCATGTGAATCATAATCATTTATATTCCCTTTAGTCTTTAAGGACTGTGAAGTTACTACATGAAGAACATTCTAGAATAGCTGTGTCCCTCAGAAACAAATTAGAATGAGAGGTAGTGTTTGGATGTTCATTTCCCAGATGCATTTCTGAAAATCAGATAAAGAATTTAACCTGCGAGATGAAATGCTTGAGAATGGCAAATGAATCAGAGATGACAAATTTCTCACTGGAAATTTCCCTGATTGCTTGTGATTGGTGTCTGATTTCAAGACAGAGATTTTGCAGAGAAAATGTTATGATTGCTACTTTGGAAAATTATACTCAAGTCACAGTTGCATTTTAAAAGTCTATGTGTGATCCAGTTTTGGGGGGTTCTCCTTCCAGTTCCACCTCTGCAGCATACTCTCCCACTTCTGGGCCTCTATCCTGAACACAGTCCTTGTGCATCTTTCGCCCTAACCTCACCGCCATTGCTTCCTCCCACTTGTTTTCCTAGTTAACTCAGTTGTTTTTTTTAAGTTTTTATTGTCTGTCTATCACATTCAGTATTATTTTGTATTAGTTTCAAGTATATCACATAGTGGCTAGGCAATGATGTACTTTACAGAGTGCTCCCCTGATATTTCAAGTACCCACCTGACTCATACATAGTTATTACAATACTATTGACTATATTCCCTAGGCTATAATCTACATCCCTGTGTGGCCCTGAGAGCCACCTCCCTCCCTGCAGTGGGAAATACCTCAGACTGCTCTGTGTCATAAGTCCTATTAAAGAGATTCACTGCACAAATGATGCTGCATTGACAACCGAGAATTATTCACTTAAAAAAAAAAAGGAACGCTTCCTCCCACCTGTCTGCTCACAAAAAAATAAATAAATAAAAGGCTGCTTAATGTGAGTCAGGTGCCTATTGTGGGGAAGATTGATAATCGTAGAAGAAGGCTGTTTTGCTATTGTTAGGGGAGAGAATAGATTCAGGAGGCAGCCACGTCTACACGCTGCCGGTTTTATCTCTTCTGGAAATTCACGTGAGGCTCATCAATGAGACTCTGCCACTTGTTCAGCCCTTCAAGTCACTGGGCATCTTCTATCATCAAGGGGAAGTGTTACTGGTTTTTGATGGGAGAAGGTGCGCAGTCACTGCAGCTAGGTGCTCGCAAGGAAAGGACATTTCACTATGGCACATTTAGTGGGTGTTTCTGGTTTTCCTGATTTCTGCCTCTGGCCACGACTGCTTTGGATTCTTTGAGACTCTGCTAAGCACCCATTCCTTTACCAGAGACCGCGCGCCCTCTAGTGGGAAACAGCAGTACACAGACTTCTATTTCAGTAAAACCTGAAGTGATGGTTGGTGCTTTTCCCTAAATTATCGAAATACGAATCCTTCTCTTTAAGTCTAGTGGGTTTGAAGTTTCCTTGCCTGATAAGCATACATTTACAACTGGAAAATATCCCTCCATCATAGCATGTTACAGTGGTTCTCAAATTTAGATGTGCTGAAGAATCACCAGAGAAATAGGATTGAAACTAAGGTCCTCAGCCTCAGCTCCAGAGGTTCTAATTCAGCTTTGGGTGTAGCCCAGGAATCTCACCATTTAAAAATGACCCCCTCATAAGTTTTATCTGTGTGACCTGTTCTTTGAGAAATGCTTTTCAGGTTTAACTGATTTGAAATAATGGGTGAGTATGGGTTGGGAAGCAAGCTCAAGGATGATATTAGGTATATTCCTTAACCACTCCTAGCTTCCATTGCTCCATCTGTAGAAAGGCAGTAAGAATACCTAGTCCATTGAGCTTTTGTAGGATAAAATGAGGTCCTAATATAAAGGGTTTGAGACTTTGCTAAAATCTCTCAAACAAGTTACAGCTGGTGACAGCGTGCCCCAACCCTATCAGTGAAAGGCTCAAAACCTGGTATAGAGCCAACCTGCCTTGCTTCACAGCTGGGCCTTGCCTGGGCACCTCCAAACCCAATAAAAAAGAGGGGGGGGGGCTTGGTACAAAATCTGGTCATGACAGGTAGCCAGCTCTAATTATTTATAGTATCAATCCTAATTCACTCAAACCATAGGGCCAGAGCCAACCGGGGGAAGCTTGGATGTCTAGACCAAATAAGCATTAAATCATAGGTCCCAAGGTCTCTATATTTAGATGCTGCTATAGACAGGACAATCAATGGATACACACAGAAGGACCAGTAGCTCCCTGCTAGGAAGCCTCTTATGATGCTAAGCTGCCTGGGTAGAAAAGCCCTTTGAGACAAAGACCATTAAGGACAGGGAAGGTGTTTTTATACATCTTTGCACCTCCCAGGTCAGATGGGTAGAATAGAAGTTGAAGCTGGCAGTTCTATTCCTTCATCTATAAAATAAGCATGACAATAATATTTTCACCAGACAGTTATGAAGAACAAATAAATGAGGTTATGTGTAAAATTCTTTGTAGGATGATTTCCAGTGGTCCTTGGAAAGTATCCCTGTCGCGTACCTTCTGGTATAACTGTCTTTAGTACCCTTCCAGAGACAGATACTGATCTGGAGAAGGGAAACAGATGCTCCAGATGTGTAATGAGATTTTGGAACCGTGTTTCTTAATGTTTTTCAAATCAGTTTCCTCTAATAAACTTAAAGTCATATCTTCTTTTAATATATACTTATTAAGTTTAATATGTTGTATATCAGAAGTCATATTTGTGTGTATGTATAAATATATAGGGTGTCCCCACAAAATGTATACACACCTTAAAAGCTGATAACTCACCCTGGCTGGTTTGGCTTAGTGGATGGAGTGTTGGCCTGCAGACTGAAGGGTCCCAGGTTTGGTTCTAGTCAAAGGCGCATGCCTGGGTTGCTGCTGGATCCCAGTACGGGACATGCAGGAGGCAGCCAATTGATGGTTTTTCTCATTGGTGTTTCTATTTATTCTCTCCCTTTCCCTTCCTCTCCAAAGTCAATAAAAATATATATTAAAAAAAATATATAAATAAAAACTGATAACTTACTTAATTTTCACTCCTTTTCAGGTTTAACTGATTTGAAATAATGGGTGAAGCCAGACTAGGCTTTGAACAAAGAAAATTTATCCTAAAGTGCCAATAGACTATTTTTTTATGGGTATACATAAAAGATAAAGTTTATGGTATAAAAGCAGCAATAGTTGATGAATTGAGGGCCCACAATTACCAAATGAAATGAGTCTTGATGTTTGCAATTCCATTGCGTTGCATTATCAGCAGTGCCTGGACCAGAACGGTCATCGATTTGAAAACAGGCATTGACAAAAATAAAATGATAATAAATATTTTTTAAAGACTTATTTCTGTAGATTATTTTAAATTTTGAAAATGAGCTGTATATTAATAAACACTGACTTTGTAATCATTCAAGTACACACACACACACACACACTCTTTAGGCTAACTGAAATTTTGAAAAATATATTCTTTTTTATTTCAGAGAGGAAGAGAGAGAAACATCAATGATGAGAGAGAATCATTGATCGGCTGCCTCACAGGAACCAATCCGTGACCTCCTGGTTTATAGGCCAAACCAGCTGGGTTAGGCTAACTGAGGTTAAACAGAGCAAAGTAATATAATTACTCCGCATGTTGTAAAATCAGTGTGGATTATCCTACTGAAACATTTTAATCTACATTTATATTAATCTTCTATGTATTTTCAAGGTCTTTCCACTAACATAATTTAGTCGGAACTTCTCATATGAATGCGATTCTACCCTTTTCTGGGTAACACACGCATCCTAGTCGTGTCATGTCCTCGGCTGCCCCACTAGAGGGAGCCATTCTGCAGACCGTGAGGTCAGCCTAACAACTGTGCCACATCTGGGTGCTGAGGAAAGGCCAAGGCTACAGGTGACAGGCAACATAGTTCAGGTTTATTAAAAAACACATAGGCGACAAGTCAGAGCGTTGGCAAGGAATGATATGGAGAAAAATTGAAGGCATTGTTCCACAAAACATTCACAGTTGTGTGCTAGAAACAAAGAGAGCAGGGAAGGATTTTAGAAGCATTTACGGTGGACAATGGATGGCCCAGCTTCATCGTACTCCTGTTTGCTGATCCACATCTGCTGGAAGGTGGACAGAGAAGCCAGGATGGAGCCGCCAATCCAGACCGAGTATTTGCGCTCCGGAGGGGCAATGATCTGTTGGTCAAGATGAGAAAGGAGGGTCATTAGTGCGCTAGGGCGGGACCAGGTTTGGTGGATCTGGCTGAGGTCTCATGAACATCAGAGATAGTCTGGGCTGTCAGATGTCTAACCTTAATCCTAACCCTAACTCAAAGGGACTGTGAATAGCTTCTGGGTGTAGATTCTTCATAGAACGCACTTGTTTTTCTGGCTTCCTTTACAGTCTATTCCAAAGCACCCATAGCACCCCCCCACATCCAATCTTCTGTGGGGCAAGCTGACAGTTGGCCCCAAACCCTGCAAGACCTCCACTTAAAGAATGCCTGGTGATGTCTTTGATTTCCATGAGCTGAGCCTCAGCACTCAGAACAACATGCTTTCTTCCTATAGAAACAACCACCTGAGTCTTCCTTGAAAAGTTTGGATTGTGCCAGAATTTACAATACAACCTGACACCCCCCCCCACTGCCCCCACCTAGTTAATTCCACAGAGATGCACTGCGTAACAGCGAAGGGCTCAGAGCTCCCCACTGGGGAGACCTTTTTCCTGGGAAAGGTCCTGGGTAACCTGCACTGGCTGACAGAGGCCTGACATGGTAATATTTAATATGCTAATATTTCTTAAATATTTGAATGAGGTGCAGAGACTGGTGAATCAGGCCAGGAGTCTTGTCTACCTGCAACAAACCCCAAAATGGCTGTGACAAGTTCCATTCCAGACTTGGATATTTGGGTAGAAATGACTATGGGCACTTTGGCCAAACAGACAAGGCATTTCTGAAACCATGGTAAAAAAAAAAAAAAAAAAAAAAAAAAAAAAAAAAAAAAAAAAAAAAAAAAGTCTAATTTCTGTGTATCTCCCCCCCCCTCCCCCAAGCTCTGGCTGAATATTTATTTTTAATATAAATAGTTAATATTTACTGAGTATTTGTTACGTACCAGGCATTTGTCCTGAGGTCTATTATCTGATTTAGTTTTTTAAACTTTTTAATTATTTTAAAATTTGGTTTTAGAAATAGGAAGAGAGAGAGAGAGATTGAAAGAAAGAGATCGGTTGCCTCTGGCACAAGTCTCAACCAGGGATCAAACCCACAACCTGGGCATGTGCCCTGACCGAGAATCAAACTCACCACGTTTTATTGTATGAGACAGCATTCCCACCAATGGAGCCTCCCTGCCAGAGCTCATTGAATTTTCCTAACTACTTCTAAAAGTAAGTATTTAATTACTCCCCTACTACAGATGAGCAAACAGAGACTGGGAGAGGTTTAAGTAACTGGGCTAGCTCATGCTGGTTGTGTGCACGTCAGACCCAATATTCAAACTCAGACCTCTCCCAGGTGTTTCTTGATTTGGTTTTGTTGCTTTAAAAGTCACCTTTTTATTTGGGGTCATTTTAGATTTATAGGAAAGTTGTAAAGCTAGTGCACTGAGTTCCTGTAAACCCGTCCTCCAGTTTCTTGTTTCCCCTAATGTCATGATCTATGTCCTGGGACTTAATGGCTTTCTCTTACTACACTGGATCCCAAAGTTCCTCATTCATCTCAATTCAAGAAGGCAAGTTTGGAGAACTAGGAATTATGCAACTGGAGCTACAGCCTCTCTGTAACATACCCCCAGCCTAGGCTGCCTTTGTCCGTGAACCCAGCAGCTAGCTGGGTTCGCCTGGCTCCCCTTTGGGGAGAAAAGAGGGAGAGTGAGAGTAGACCAGAGTTCTCAGAAAACAGTCTCATCTCTCTCACCTGCAGTCTCTCAGAGCTGACACTACAAAGTGGTTCAGTCCAGCACTCTTTCATGTGACCTGCATATCCTTTCCCAAAAAAGGAGAAGGGAATGAAAAGAACAGAGCTTTTCATGTGTGTGAACTGCACCTGCACCATGCCTTCTACTGCTCCATGTGACCGGGGCAGGAGGGCAATAACAGCCTGCGAGAAGTCACCAGCCCTCTGTGAGACTGCCTCCAAAGAGTGCTCTCTGTTTAACTGCTTAGCTGCCTTGACTGGGACTCAAACCTGACATAATACAGGGGTCGTGGGTGGCTCCAGGACTGAGCGTGGTCATCCTGTGCTTTTGGGTCCCTATATCAAAAGGTGTGCCAGACAGACAGCTAAAGATCAAATTCTCATTCCCAGCCACTGCAAGGTGCTCACGTTTAGTAGGGGGAGAAGAGTGCATGGTATTGAATGCACAGGGTTTAAACCTCTTCAGAAATATATCTGCCTCCTCTGTCACTTTTCTTAATGTTCTACACATGAGATGCACTATTTTGTGATGAGGAAGCACAACCAAATATGCATTTTAAAGAGAAATGGGCACATGGGCAGCTTTGTTGATCTCTATCAAAGCTGCTAACCATAGCTGATAGGCAAGAATAATTACAGATTAAATGTTGTACAAGATAATTCAACTTCTCTTATGAGCTGGATTGACTTATGTCTTAGAAGGTGTAGAATTTGTGTACCCGGTCCCTCTGCCATGAGCACATGTGACCCAGATGTGGCCTCTGCGGATTCTTTCACGCCTGGTGACAGGGCTGGCACCAGCAGCACAGCCGGGGGGTTGGGGAGGGCTGTCACCAAACTGTACCTTGATCTTCATGGTGCTGGGTGCCAGGGCCGTGATCTCTTTCTGCATGCGGTCAGCAATGCCGGGGTACATGGTGGTGCCCCCTGAGAGGACGTTGTTCGCATAGAGGTCCTTCCTGATGTCAATGTCACACTTCATGATGCTGTTGTAGGTGGTTTCATGGATGCCAGCGGACTCCATCCCTGGAAAAGAGACGGAGGCCATGGTCCTTGGTGGGTGGGTAGACTCAGGTCAGACAAGGAAGAGCTACATGGAAGATCTTATACCAACTGAAGTGAAGCAGACATGATAATCGAGGAACCTCCCATATCAGAGACCAAAAGGTCTTTGTAATGCTCCATGTGCTCCTACCTCTTGTCTAGTGAGAAGGCCCTGCTGGGAGGAGGGGGGCGGGCTGCAATGTAATGGCACCGATTTTTAATTCTCATTACTAAGTTTGGTTTGAATCAGGGGCAAAGTCTTGAGACTCCCTGTAGAAGGCTGCACACTGAGCCAGTGTCGCAGCCAATGATCACAACTCCCCTAAGTCTCTCCTTGGCTGCTGCCTCATTCTCACCCCTGAAGCTGAACCATCAGAAAAGTGCTCAAGCCATTTGCACAAAGACGCATCTTTCTTCCATTTTGGTAATTTTTTTAATCTGAGCTTTTTGTTAATTTCTGATGTGGCTCTTTTAAACAGAACCTCCTAATAGCCCTTTATCTTTTGCAGTGCTGTGATGATGAATAATAAAAATAGTAATAGTAATAATAATAATAATAATAATAATAATAATAATACCTAACAATATCTAATGATTATTGCTAGCTTGCTTTGGCCAGCCACTGGGCTAAGTGCTCCACTTATATCTCATGGAATTATCACAGCCATGCTATGACATAGGCACTGTTACAATCTTCCTTTTACAGATGAGGACACCAAGGTTTGGGGAAGTTACATGATTTTCCCAAGAACACGAAAGTAGAACTAATACTCAAACCCAGGCTCACCCCTCCCAGAGCCTACCCTCTGTAAACAGCTCTGCTAAGCTTTCTCTTAAGATCAGTGCTAATGTAGGGACAGGCTCTTCCATTTTTCTCTTGCCCTTCCATTCCCAAACTCTCAGCATTCAGTACGCCCTCCCCATCCATCCAGTGGCTCGAATGTCCTACGCATGAATAATATTTGACTTTCACCCTAAAGCACACACCATGAATGCTTCTGGATTCACTACTACATAGTGTTGCTTGGAATGAAAAGTCCTTTCCTGGCCTTCTTAAGTCTTCTCACTTGATACACATGACCCTCTTTGTCGTGGTTTAGAAATGTGTTTGGCCTTGTGGCCCTGTCACATGTCCCCACATGCAGAAGAACACTGGTGGCCGAAGGCTGGCTGAGTAAGGGGGATAGGATGATCTCTCCATCCCAGGATGTGACGCTGTTGCCTACCGATGAACGAAGGCTGGAACAGCGTCTCCGGGCAGCGGAAGCGCTCATTCCCAATGGTGATCACCTGCCCATCTGGCAGCTCATAGCTCTTCTCGAGGGAGGAGGAGGATGCAGCGGTGGCCATCTCATTCTCAAAGTCCAGAGCTACATAGCACAGTTTCTCCTTGATGTCTCGGACAATCTCCCGCTCAGCTGTTGAGATACAAGCATTAGGGTTTGCCCAGGTGGTAAAAACCACCCTTCCTATCTCAGTCCCTCCCACAGGGCTGGTTCCTTCAAAACAGTATGTAAGTTCAATATTCTGCAACCCCAAATCCATTATGCTAATTCAATTATAGGTGCACCAGGGAACCACTTCTGTTCCTAGCAGAGTGCCTCACACACCGTAGACCCTTAGTAAATATCACCTAGCAAATGGTGACAGGAATAAAAGAAGCTGGCTAGAGAACGGCACAGAGCAGGAAATCCTTTTGTAGGTTATGTTTTTGCAAAATTTGCTGATCACTCTCTATTATAAAGTTTTACAACAGTCAGTTATATTGGATTTCCGGCTGACCTGGAAGTCTTATGCTGAAAAAGTCTTTTGGAAGCCCTCACTGTTTTCAAAAGCTCTGGAGACCCATGTCTCTTGGGCCAGGTAGATTCCAATTCAAACCACTGACATATTCATCATCTTCTAGAGAGAGGCAGGCCTGGCTCAGGACCAGTCCTGTCCAGGAGTCTCCAGGTGTGTGTGGAAGGAGGTGTGGAAGAGAGGGCAGGCAGACACCTTTTGGATTCCTGCATTCCAAAGTTCTAAGCTATCTGGACCCTGGGAACCTTTTGGAAGTATCTTGGGGGTCCTTGGGGGACGTAGAGTCAGGAACAAAATTAATTTAACTCCCTACTTCTAGAGAAGACGTTAATATCTTCAGGGCTCTAACTTGGAGCCTAGAATAGTCCATGGGCATGTTCAGAAACTTGCACATTTAGACAATACCAAACTGGTGAGGGGAGGGCAGGTAGCCAGGGCCAAGGATGCAGAGGATGTCCCAATGTCTCTATAACATCTGACTCTGCTTCTTGTCGGTGGAGACCAGGTGGCACTAGTTCAGAGTCCCAAGATACACATCTCACTGCCTGCTGGGTTGTTCTTAATACCCTCTAATAACTATTGCATGCTCACTCTGTGCTGGGTTTCCACGTGCATTATCTCATTTACCACTCACAATCACCAGAGGGACTATGGCTTAGTGAGGCTGGGGACCTTGTTCAAGGTCACACAGCTAGTGAGTGGTAGAATCAACCCCTAAGCTTTGTCTAGATGTCTCAAATGATTGCCAAATCACTATGCATACTATTCTCAGTCTCTGCACTCTCTCTTTTCTATTTGTGAGTGGAGAGGACTAAAAACTGTTCGGAAAACCCAACTCTGACTAGTTCATCATACAAGATGGCTATTACTGTTTTTCCAAGGAAACAACATAATCACTTTGTGATTTTATCCAATTAAAAAAAGAAAAAGCCATGCTTGGCTCTGCAGTCCATCATTTCCTTGGGTAGTCACTGTGGTCTGTAAGTTACTAGGAAGGACATCGCTTCCGTTCATTCCCACGGGCCTCACCCGTAGTCACGAAGGAGTAGCCACGCTCCGTCAGGATCTTCATGAGGTAGTCGGTGAGATCTCGGCCAGCCAGGTCCAGACGCATGATGGCGTGGGGCAGGGCGTAGCCCTCGTAGATGGGCACGTTGTGGGTGACACCATCTCCGGAGTCCAGCACGATGCCTGCAGGACGATTGAGCACAATAAAAGTCACAACAGCAGCCCACATGTGACTTACTGGCCTAGGAGAGAGGACATTTCTAAGCTTCTTATTTGAAAGAAATAAAAGAAAGCATTTGTTAGGCTAGGAGAGGAGGAACAGACTCGGGGAAAAGAAAGAGTAGGAAGAGAGAAACAACAGAAGTCCTGTTCTAATACGAGCTTCAAGGCTCATTTTTAAAAGTTGACAATAGACCTATTAGGCCTAGGATGGCCCTGTCAATTCTTAGTAACCCTCAGTCATCACAACCCGCCTACTTACAACCATCAAACCCCATAACTGATGGTATATCCGGTGGAGGCTCCCATTCCTCTCAGGTACCTACCAGTTGTACGTCCAGAGGCATAGAGGGACAGCACTGCCTGAATGGCCACATACATGGCTGGGACATTGAACGTCTCGAACATGATCTGCAAAGCAATCCAAGAACTCAATGAGTGACACTATTAATCTTCTTGTTGGTGAAGGCAGATCGTGGCTTTTCTGTCCTAAGGAAGAAGACCTTTAAACCTGAGGCTCCGATGGGCTGTGATTAGCCTACTTCTGTGGTTTGTCTGCGGTTCTATGTAATTGGTTCCACTTTTTATGTAGTTGCTGGGTCAATGCCAAAGCTAGATTCTGAGGTCTCTCTGGCTGAGGTGGAAGGAGCCCTGTTTCCTGGCAGAGGACCACATATGAGGGCCAACATACCACCCAGCTCCTGCAGTGCAGGGACAACATTAGAGCAAGAGCTACTCTGGGTCACATGTGGCAAGTTCATGCACACTGAGATGCCCACGGGCCTGCATTTCTCCATCTGCAAAACCCTTCCAGCTCTGACTGCTCACTAGAATGTCTGACATCATTTGCTAGAGAGCCATCATTCTCAACTATTTTCCTGCCTCCATGCCATTCACAGAAACAATGGTGTCTACTGGAAACAACATTGGCTACCTGGAGCGATTCCCTGGCACACGTTTCCCTTTAGATAATAGCTGCTCTCGTGTCGCTGTCAGCACTGGGAGCTCCTCCCAGGAAAAGGCCTTGCAGTCTTTACATGTGTTATTCTCCAAGCCTCAATTGACATGGGTCAATTCCAGCCACTTCTATGGTGTGACCTTGGGATATTCACTTAATGTATTTGAGTCTCAATTTTGTCATTTATGCAATTAGGATAATGACACGTTCTGCTTCACACATTGTTAAGATTTAAAGAGACTGTGCATATAAAATGCTTGGCCCAATGCTTAACCACAGTGAGCATGAAATTGAATTAGGTGTTTTAATTGCATAGCTCGCCCAAACCGGAATCTTTGTTTGGCTGCTGGAATGGGTGGTTTCCTGTTATAAGTCACAATAATGACGGTAATAACTATTACTCATTGAATATGCCATGTACAAAACACCAAGGTACACATTTCACATTGTGCCTCACGAATCTTCACATCGAGCATTTGAAAAGTAATAGTCCCAACTTTTACACAAACTGAGGCTCTGAGAAATTAAGTGGGCTGCTTAAAGTTACATGGCTAATAACTGACAGATCCAGTTTTTAAACCTACATCTGTCTGACTTCAGAACAAAAATTCCCCACTGTGTATTGTCCTGCATTTTGAAATGCCTTCTCCTTACAAGTTTTGAACCTAAAAGAAATCTCTTAAAATGCCCTATAGCTTGTGGAAGTCAGAGGGGAATAGCTCCTGCAGTAAGAATGTGAGTACTATTAGGGTGCTCCTGTCCTTTGGCATCCCCAAGTTCCTGGGACATTGTGGGTCTGGAGGGGACTGCGGGGCTGGGCCAGCTCTCTGCTGTCCTCTACACCCCCTTCCAAATGGACTTTCCCAAACCTGAAGTGCTGGGCCCCAGAATGCGTATTTACCTGGGTCATTTTCTCCCGGTTGGCCTTGGGGTTCAGGGGTGCCTCGGTGAGCAGGGTTGGATGCTCTTCAGGAGCAACACGAAGTTCATTGTAGAAAGAGTGGTGCCAGATCTAGGGGGGGCGAGGGGGGCGCAATGGAGGAGAAACACATGATGTGATGTTGGGGCACAGCAGACTCCAAAAAGGGACCAGCATGAGCTTCATAAAACTGGGGCCAAATAAAATGTGACAAGTACTCATTATGTGTCTACCTTTTAGCCAATGAGACTGACTCTCCAGTAACTTACCCAGGGATTTATAGCCAGTAGATAAATGAGCAAAAACCCAAACCCAGGTCTGTGAGGCAGGATGGTGTAGTGGGTAAGGTACAGGCTTTGGAGTCAGGTCTGAGTTCAAATCCCAGCTCAGCCACTTTTTGGTTGTGTGCCCTTAGGCAATCTTTAACCCCGTTCAGCTCCAGTCTCACCATGGTTAATACGAAAATCGTTAGCATGTCTTGGCGAGAATTAAATAAGGAAATCCTAAAGTTACTGTTTAGCCCAGTGCCTGGCCCAGAGTAAATGTTATTTTTCGTCTTCTTGAACCCCTCATTCTATTTTTGTTAATATTCATGGGAAAATGACTTAGTTAAGTAACAGGACAAATGAATGAAAACATGAATGGAAGGATGAAGCTGACTGGAGACCTAATTGCCTTTTCAATTCTTTAGGGAAGTTTCCATCTGCGGTGTATGCTAAACAAAGGCAGGTCACCTTGCTTCTAGCCTCCACCCCACCCCACCCCACCCCCCTTTGGGCCAATGCCCAGGATGGTTAGAATCAGGGCCCTGCAGCCTGAGGGCTCAACCTGCAGTGAAGCGCCAATACCTTTTCCATGTCGTCCCAGTTGGTGATGATGCCGTGTTCTATCGGGTACTTCAGGGTCAGGATGCCTCTTTTGCTCTGTGCTTCATCACCCACGTAGCTGTCCTTTTGTCCCATTCCTACCATCACTCCCTAAAAAGATTCAACGCATTTCAAGTCAGCCTCTCCCCAAATGTATGCATTGATGACAGTCCAGTCACAATGGGTTAAATTACTGGGAACCAAGAACAATATCTTGGTACCGAGAGCAATATATAGAGTCCTATGATTACTGTGTTCTTAAACAACATCCCTGAGTTGATTGGAAATAGGCCTGAATCAGCCTCCAGATGGCAGAGGACCCTCTGGGTAACGCAACTTAAACTGTATGTTGTACCTTCTGAGATCCTTGATGGGCAGAGAGATTGTCTGCTTTGCCACTATAACAAATTGCCTGGCACATATTTGTCATGCAATAATTGTTTGTTGAATAAATGCATGAAATGTTACATATACGTTAAGTGACATTTCATTTCTCATAAACTGTTCTTTTGAAGCTGAATATTATTTCTAATCCAGCCTGAAGCATTATGTCTATAAAGGACCACCAGTGCTTGATTTCTGACCAATACTAATCAACATTAAGACATTTGTCAGATGAATTTTTTAATCATTAAGGCGACACTTTAAAAAAGGAAAAAAAGAATTCTCACTACTAGAATGTTCAATTGCACTGTAGTTCAATTGTGACTGCTCTAGAACTGTAAAAACAGTCATGGCTACTATAGATCCGGAGAGTGGTTTGTGCAAAATATCTCCACTGCGCACAGTTCAACAAAGAGACAGTTCGTTCACTGGGTGAGGCTTCAGCTGTTTGAGAATATACACCAAATTGAGGGCCATAGACATCAATGCGCAAAATACATTTCTGATGGGAAAGAAAATTTCTGGGACAAAATTCTCAGTTTATTACCAAGTGGCTGCACCAACGTTTTGTTTATACAACATATTATGTAAAAAATTACCATGTGGCTGTTCAGATATATTTTGTTGACAGATAACAGTGTGTAAAATTACAGTTGGTAACAAAGCTTACTTTCATCTAACATCAAGCTCTTTGAGAGTAAATGACCTAGGTTTTAGTATAATTTCTTTCCAAAGAGCAGGTATATACTAGAGGATGATAATGATGATAATGATGATGATGATGATAATGACAGTGATTATACTTACAAAAAAAAAAAAAGCTTACGAAAAAGGGGCAAATTATATCTGAAAGACACCCACCAGATAATCTGTATTGTATATAAAATTGGTATTTATTTCTTGACATTAACCACCAGAGGTATATTCTTAGCAATGTTACATAATTTGGGGTAAGCAAGCAATAGACAATCTGTGGCTACCTAGTGACACTCAGACATAGAGTCCAAACAGACTCTTGCTCACCTGATGTCTGGGACGTCCCACGATGGATGGGAAAACAGCTCTAGGAGCATCGTCCCCAGCGAAGCCCGCCTTGCAGAGCCCAGAGCCATTGTCACACACCAGGGCGGTGCTGTCCTCTTCTTCACACATCTCGGCTGGCTGGCGTGCGTCACAAGGTTCTGCAGGGAGCAGGGAGGAAGCAGCCCCAGCTGTAATCCAGCAGTTGTGACACTGACTTGACCACTCCCCTCTTCCAGGCTGGGTTTGGGGCCCCTCCTCTGGACTCCTAAAGCACCCTCAGCTGTCCCTTATCTAACACGTTTATCTCAAAGCACTTTCATTAGACTGCTGGCTTTTTATCAGTCAAAACTCTCACTGTCATGTTCATACACCTGGCCTCCAGCACAGTGGCTGGCATGTCTCACGTGTTCATAAGCACTTTAAACACTGACTAAATGAGCGAATGAATGAACAGCTGTAGAGACCAGTTGGGAATATCAGACTATGAGACCAGATTTTCACAGGGACAAATCACTAGTCACATGTTAAAGAAATAAATGAAATTTGCTGTCAGTATCCACTCAAATTAACATTTCTTTTCCTATAACTTAAAAGAATTTTTTCAAAAATGTAAATTTTGAAGGATATGCAGTGTGAAAAATTTGGAAATGTTGAATGACTAAAATGTTTAATGTAAAATGTTTAAAAGGAAAATATCTTGAATCTTGAGGACTTTTATTTTTACCCTTGGTAAAACAGTAGGCCCATGAAAACATTCTAATAAGGAGGTGTTTTAAATTTTAGGGGCCAAAGTTAATCTCCATTAAGAAAAATCATGGCTAACGTAAAATCCAATAAGTGAGGGGGAATCTAATATATTAATCACTATGAAGTAGATTACTTTGCTGCCATTAAGAAAAATCAATAAAAAGCTAAGGTACCGGTATATTCTTATGTAAGAGAAATAGGTTAGAGGAAGTAACATTGGTGATCCCATTGAAATGTATTTTTATACATTACAAAATGATTAGTCATATATAACAAGATACTGATGGGGGTTATTTTGAAGTGGTGGACTTTGTATGTTTTTATCTTCCCTAGTTTGGGCATATAATCTGAGGCAACCAATCACAATTGATGGATGTTTCTCTCTCCCATTAATGTTTCTCTCTCCCCCTTCCTTCCTCTAAAGTCAATTAAAAAAAAACACCATATTCTCCAGTTAAGGTTAAAAAAACAACAACCTTTAAAATAATTTATGGGCCTGGCTAGTGTGGCTCAGTGGTTGAGAATTGACCTATGAACCAGGAGGTTTGATTCCTGGTCAGAGTACATGCCTGTTGCAAGCTTGATCCCCAGTAGGTGGCGTGCAGGAGGCAGCCAATCAATGATTCTTTCTCATCATTGATGTTTCTATCTCTCTCCCTCTCACTTTCTCTCTGATATCATTAAAAATAAAATAATTTATGGTGCTATATGCATTGAGTTCTCAATTAATATTTGTTCTTTAATGATTGTTATTAATAGCATTATATAATTATTATCATTATCAAATCTTTTTAATGCTAGTTTTTGCTTTCTTTCCACAGTGCCTCCAAGCTTAGGAAGGAAATCCTCAACTTGAGGATTCCATTTGTAAGAATGGAAAACCCGGCTTATTAAATGGCTGGCCCTTTCTTTTCTCACCCTTCCCTGTGGGATTTGGCTTCTTTCCTAGCCGTTGAAGAAGCTAGGAGAGAAGTGAGAAATGAGTCCAAGGGAGACAGGTCAGAGAAGCAGTCAAGGGTCCAAGGCATTTGCCGGCACCAGGATCACAGCCTCTCTTCACATGTGCTAAGCAGACTTTCCAAACCAAAAGCAAGAGCTGAAAACGGGATAAAAAGTTTGCAAAAGGACACAATTCAAATGTGATAGGATGTTCAGCATGAATGAATGCATGTCCTTTTGTTGGGCAGGAAGGGGTTGGGGGGAGTGTTTGAATTCACTGCAGAAAAAAATAGGTTGACCCTCAGCATCAGCTATCATGCAGACAAAAAAAGTTCAAAATTCAGTAAATATATTTTCCTTTAGGAGGGGGAAAAAAAAAAGAAGCCCCAGAAGGATTTTATCATGTCTAAAAGGAGCATGGTCCTTACAGAAGGAGTCTGTGTCCCGGTTAAGGAGTGATTCCGTGATTTCCAGCTCTTATCTAACCTGCCTGAGCAAGACGGTCTGGAGCGCCCACAGCATTTCCTAATTAGGTAAAACACACTCCGACTCTGCTTTTGGAACTGCACCCGGGTCAGGGGGTTCGCTCCAACCGGGTGCATCTTGTGCCAAAAATGAGTAGCTGGTGGGAGGAGGGGGGGGGGAGGGGGGGAGGGAGAGAGAGAAGAGAGAGAATGTTGCAGTTCCCAGCTCCTCTGTCTTGAAAAGCAAACCATATTTAGTCATGAGTCACAAAATGGAAAGGAAAAAAATCTCAGCGTGAAAACTCCCCATTTCAGACCGAACCTGCCAAGCCCTGATTTATGGCAAAGTTCAGCCGGGTGGCAGGGCTGGCTCCAAGATCCTGCCTGCCAGAGCAGGCTGAGAGAAATGCAGATCGCACATGCAGAAGGCTTCTGAGCAGGCAGCTGTCAGATGTTCGCGCTGCCCCCTCCCTCTTCGCTTGCCCAGAAAGATTCAGTCGGTGGTTTCCTGCTGCAAACCACCCAGCAACCAGACCGACTGCTGATGTGGAAGCTCTCCGACACATTCAAGAGGCATACCTTCCCCACAGAGGACACTACCGGTTAGAGGCAGAGGAGCCCAGAAACAAACACAGAAAGCCAGCACCAAAGACCAGACAGCCAAAGTCCAGCTGCAGACACCTTCACTGCACCCAAAATCCCATCCAACGAAGACTCGCCACTCCAAATACTGGAGTTTCCAGTGCCTACCTATAAATAAATGGGTGGTTCATGCAAATGATAAAAAATGCAAACAGCTAGACTGCATCCCTGAAATGTGTTACAAGATCTGGGCTGTTGGTTTAGCATAAACAGATTTTACAGGTGACACACATTTCATTTCAACTCCCTCTCCCTCTCCTCCCCCACCCCAAGCTGCTCCTTTGCCTCCTTGTTCATGTTAGGTCATCAGAGCTAAAAGTTAGTAGTACAATTACACGAGTAGTACAATCTTCATTCAAACATTTCAGAGTGCCTGAGCCCAGCCAAATCCCTTTGGACAGCGTCTGATGGTCCTGGGGAGCATCAGAGCTGCTGGCATTGGTAAGTCCCGTCCTGGGCAGTGCCACTTACCCTGACAGTGCTGGCTGGGCTTCTCGGCTCTGGGTGATGTTCAGGGAAGCTGAACGAAAGCGTCAGGGTTATATAGCCCCTTGGCCTGCTCCCCTCCCACTTGCTTCCCAAACAAGGAACAGAGACAGACTCGAGCCAGTCGTTCAGGCTAACACAACCATATAGGGACCTCAGCACAAAACTCTCTCATCTGGGTGGCCAGCGGCCTGGGTCTCTTCCACTGCATTCCACGGCGCTGCTCGTGAAATGGGAGGCAGCTCAGCTGCCTGTGGAAGATAAACACCCTGAGCCTCCAGAACAACTGCTGACCCTCCCCGAGGCCCTGAGCCGGGGGAAGAGGGCAGATGCAGGCGCGGGTGGCACATTCCTCGGAAGATGCCAGCCTGCTGTCCTGCTGGCATATGCTGATGAGCTGAGAACCTGAAAGAGCGTCCTTTTAGGAACTCTCCAGCAGAGGTGGCCAGCAATAAAGAAAGATATTGCTTCCTTGGCCCATAAATAGATTCAGGGAGTGACGGTTTTATGGTCGTCAAGGCTGTTTATAAATGGAGTCCGGGAGCGGTGTTAATGGAATAGGAATGGAAGCAGAGACAGGCCTGCTGGGCTGTGTTTCACAGAAGCACTTCGAAGTCTGCATTACCATAATCACTTTAGTTCTTTGGTACATGATATATGTCTACTAATTGGAGCAATTTAGCAGCGCAACTAATAGAGCGTCCACTCCGTGTCCTGTTACAGAAGCAGTTTGAGAGAGAAAAGAGCATGCGTAAGAGAAGTCTCCCTGACTCTCCTCTCTCCCTACTGAGCCATCTGACAGGTGATAAAGCAGGTGGCCCAGGGATTGCTCAAAGGCAGGTATTGAATGAATGCCAATCACCAATTGGGCCTTAAGCTCTTATTCCCAAATGTCAACGTCAACCTCAATGGTTTTAGAGTGGTCATCCCTCCTCCTCCAAGCTAAGGTTCTAATTCAATTTATGATAAAAAAAAAAATACTTTCGAAGGATACTTCGAATATTTCTGGGCTGCTGACGTCCAACATGTGGAAGAAAAAAATCCCAGAATGAATGGCTTTATTTTACAGCTGTGGCCATCTATTCACTCATATTACTGTGCCAGATCTGTTTGATTTATGCTATTGATGTATTTCTCTTTGGGAGATTGCACTGTTGATTATTTTAAATTTTCAAAAAGACTAAGACTAAATGATAATAAATTTCTCTGTGTTGTTCAGAAAACTGTGTGTAGTTTTATCAATTGGAAAACACAATTGTCCAAATGTTGAAATTTGGAGATGACATAATATAACATAAAGTTAAACATTTGGAAGTAACCCAATAGTTTTCTCACAGGGATGATGTGAAGTAAAAATTCTATATTTTCCTGATTCAGAGGCAATTTGAGTACAGGTGGGGTTTCTCCCTTCCCCCACTTCTGTCTCAAGCAGTGTCTGTGTAGCCCTTGGTAACTTTACTAAGTGAATGTTCCTTTAAACACCAAAGAGAAGAGTTTTGGTATTTACCTTTATGATTCTTAGGTCATTTTCTTCCTTGACTATAGTGTGCACTCACAGCCCTGACAGTAAGTAGACTATGATGAAATAAACAAACATACAAAGAGACGCTTCAAGGTTTAGTGTTTCTTACAAGCTTTTTCCCCCTTTTTCTTCCCTTTCTCTTTCCCTCCTCCCTTCTTCCCCCCCCCCCCCCCCCCCGCTTCCTTCTCTCTTCTTTCCCTCTCGCTCTGAAAATAAATTTCTGAGCAGTTGATTAAATGGTCTCATTGGGCTTGAGATTTATACTTTCATGCCCCATCCAAGTGTCTTCTGTGAAAGAAAGCAGATCTGGATGAGAATGTGTGTGTACAAAGGAATCTCCAGTCGAGCAGCCAGATATTCTCTGGGGCTCTCAGCCATGTATCCAAGGAGCTAGGGAGCAGTTAGGAAAATAGTAGTGTCTGATGACTTGATTGCAGTTCAGAAAAAACTATAAAATAAATTCTAAACTATAAGCACAAAGTCAAGGATCATCTCCAGATATGTTGTCCTACAAACCTCATACACCATCTTAGTAGCATTGATCAGTGATGATTTATTATAAATTCCCTGAGATCTGGGGCAATTTTTAATTCTTTTGGGGCCCAGTCCAGAGCTGAGTAAGCAGTGTGTGCTCAATAATTGCCTAACAATTTCTTAATTATTCTTTATCCCCAGAACTTATTGATTTAAATTAAGCCATGTCAATACTGGCAAACACCTCAATAATATGGATGTCTGGTAAGGAAAATAATTTTCTGGTGCTATTGAAAAATTGGGCTGTAGGAATTGTTTCCTCTAGACTGGTCACACTCATTAGCTATTTTGTTCAGCTCCAAAAATTTGTTTTGTCTGACAAGACACAGTGAGAGCAAGGTATCCTTTCCATCTCCCATTCTTTAAATTCTCTAGGTTCTGGAATCTGCAGGACCAAAGGCTGAGTTCTTCTAAGAGAACCCAAACAGATAAACTCATCAAACCCATGTTGGTACAATGACCCTTCTAACCACATCTTCAGGGGTTTTCCAGGTTCTATTCTGTTGTGTTCTGTTCCTCACTTGATCATAACAGAGATTCTTTGTGGCATATTTCATTTGATGCCTCCTATGGGGATGTTGAGGACTGGTATTTGGGGATGTTCTAATTCTCAGTAGATGGTGTTTATTTTCATAGTGTTCTCATTTATTTCAAAGTCTTATAAGCTCAAAGAAACTCCCATAAGAGAAGACACTTGGCATACTAAATGTAAGAAAAATGTTCAGCTAAAGGAGGGAATGTGGTGGCCATTGGCCCTCAGACCTCATCTTAGTGTATAGGCAAATCTCTTAGATCCATACACAAATGATTTTGATTCAGAGTTCAAGTTATAGCTCTACCACTTACTAGTTCTGTGCCCTCTCTCTGCCTTAGTTTTATAGGGAAAATGGGATTACTAATGATACCTTAACACAAGGTGATAGTGAGATGTGAATAGTTAATAAACAAGAAGTACCTAGAGCCCTGCCTGCCCATGGAAGCATTATGTAATTATTATCATAGAGTTCTGTGAGAGGATGTTAGATCTAGACCTGAGAAAGACGCTTTCTCAGACAACAAAAGTGCAGAGGTGAACACTTAGCCAGAGGAAAGTGACACCTTGTGCTAGTTCCCTGTCACTGCTTGGACACATCACAACAACTTGACCAGCTTCAAACAACAAACATTTATTGTAGTACAGTTCTTGTGGTCAGAGTCCACAACAGGTTTCACTGGGCTAAAGCCAAGGTGGTGACCTTTCCTCTGGAAGCTCTGGTAAGTCGCTTCCTTCACCTTCAATGCCAGCAGCATGGCATTCAAACTGCTCTTCTGACTCTGACCACCCAACCTCCCTCTTAGAAAGATCCTGCTGGATAAGCTAGAATAATCTTTCCATTTTAAGACCCTTTACTTAATCACATCTGAAAGTTCACTTTTAAAAAAAAATGTTTTTATTGATTTTAGAGAGAAGAAGGGAGAGGGAGAGAGGGCTAGAAACATCCATCAACTGCCTCCTGCATACACCCTACCTGGGATTGAGCCTGCAATCTGGGCATGTGCCCTCAAACCGGTGACCTCTTCGTGCATGGGAGGACGTACAACAAACTGAGCCACACTGTCTGGGCTCCTTTTTAAAAAAAAGAAAATTTTGTGTCAGATAACACATTCACAAGCTTTGAGGATTAGGATGTGAATGAGTTGGGGAGGTCATTGTTCGATATACCCCATAAGCCCCCCCTTCACACACAAATGTATTTCCTGTTGCATGTCAAGACATGTATAACAGTTTCTCAGCTTAATTTTTTTTTCCACCTGTGGCATTGACATTAGATATATTACTAACATTTAATAGGCATGTAAGAAATAGCATACAAGTCTATGTTAGGAAAGGGATCAGAAAACTAAAACTGTCTGTCCATGGTCTCCTAGAGGACAAGTAGGAAAGTAGAGTAAGCTTGTTCACTTCTTTAGTCTTTCAGAGTGTCCAGAGTATGCCATGAATTTCGAGATTAAAAGTGCACCTTCAAGTACTATTCTATTTTATTTATTCACTTGTACAAGAACAAAATGCGTGTTGGATTGCAGAACAGCACCTTGTTAGATTTTGGAGCCAGAACAACTCCTAACATTCTTGTTGTCACCAAAAGATGACTTGGGAAATAACGATTAACCATGAAGCACAGAGAGCTTTAAAAGCCCAGTTAAATTCCTGGAGGACAAGGGCACTATTTATTGTCCCTTTGCTAACAGTGGTTACATTTTGCCTACTTTTCACCTTATCTATCCTCCCTCAGAAGTAGTGTGCTCCAACACTTCCTCAATAATACTGAACAATAGACGCTTCCATTAACAAATCAGACTCACAGTGTAAGACCTTTGCCCAAATCATCCCTCTGCCTGGAACATCGTTCTACAGTCACCTCTCTAACTACACCCCTCACTCAAGTTCTTCTGGCTGTACTCATCCTCAACTCAGGTGTCACCACCTGGCAGTAAGACTTACCTGTCTACCTCCACCACCACCCCATTTTACATGGCCCTCCTCTGTTTGCCTAGACCACACTGTGTTCACCTCTCTTGTAGGACTCACTTCATTGTTCTGTAATAATACCTCTAACTTCCAGGATAGACTGTGTTTGAGGGTAAGGACTAAGTTGATTTCACCTTTGCATTCCTAGAGCCTACAGCATGCAGTAAATGTTTATTTTTTTAAGTTCATCTTTATTGTTGAAAGTAAGCAGTAGATGTTTCTTGAATGGAACTTCATCAAACACAGGAAATGTTTAACAAGTGGTTTTTAAACAATAAAGGTCAAAGGTATTCTAAGGAGAGGGCAAATAATAACAATTTCAATGACTACTTATCAGATAGTACTATGAGCTGTTTTTCTATTTATATAAACTCATTTGATCTTCACAGCAACCATAAGGAAAATGTTATTCTTTTTTTTACATGTGAGTAAACAAAGGCTCTGATAAGTTAATGTCTTACAAAAGGCTTCATAGCTAGCACGGGGTGGAGCAGGCAGGGATTCTGATCCAGATATGTCTGAGTTTGACCAGGGACTAAATTCAAGCACATACACAGAGGTGTGGGCA